ACCAGGCATTTTTCCCCACATTGTCAACATTACTGGAATATATGATTCAAAACATTAATTTCCATTAAACATAAATACACAATGGAGTAGAAATCAAAATTCAAGAAGAGTTCCAAACAGACTAAGAGCTGTTAACAAGTTTATTACTTTTAAATGGTGCATCCTCAGATTGCAGGTGCACTTATTCAAATTCTCTGTTTTGGTGAACTAGAGAAAAGTTTACAAAGCATTTATGTAGACTCCTATATGATAGAATGCACAGGTCTGTTCCATCAAGTTTTTAATTTAAATCACAATTGATTTTTGTCTTGCTTTTATCAACATTGCCTAAGGGCATAATTCAAATGAATGTTGAGAAAATTCTTATTTGTCTTTTTTGTTCCCATATTGTTATTGCCAAAGTCAAACAACACTTACAAAACTTTCATATTTTCAGTTCTGATTAAAGTGTGTTATTTTTGTGATAGCACTGAGTAACATAATTTGTGAATGGTCTGCAGAAAAATGACTGAAGTAAGAAAAATCATGAATTAATTTCCAACTAGACTAGAAATTATTCACAAAGGAGGTAAAGCAAGCAATATTTTCCTTGAAAGAGAATAATATTCAAGATATATGTCAGACATTGATGGTGGCGCAAAGTATGGGGAGGGGGCACTGAACAAAAAAATGACAAGAATATGAACCCAGTTAGTGTAGAAAGAAGAAAGCTAGCATTTATACCATACCTACCATTCCAAGAGTTTTCCTACATATTTTTTTGTTTAATATTCCAAACACCTCTGGAGACTATATTCTCCCAAAGCAGGAAATGAGCCTCAAAAAGATACAGCAGAACTACATCTGTTTCAAAAGCCCAAGATGGCGGTGAGGTCTGCACACTGTAAGGGGAGAGTTGTTAATGATGGTTGAAATGATGTGCATGGTCCTATAACACTCTCCAAAGCTCCATTGCCTTCTTCTCTGATTCTGTGTAGCAGTAACCGGGTGGATTGTTTACTGGTGTGTATTGTTTGCTGTCCTTATCTGATCATCATTCCCAGGCCACTTTATGAACTCTAAGGTCAGACACCTGCCCTCCCTGGGTGGTCTTCCCTGCAAAGAATTGGGCTGTTTTAGTCGGTGATTGATAAATGTGACTTGAGTGATTTGACTGTTAAGATTAATAATCTAGGACTTTATAAAACTGTTCATAAGAAAAGCCGCTGCTCAATTCACAATGTCAGCCTCAGTTTTCATCCTACAGGTCATGTGAATTGAGTGATCCTCAGAATTGCCCCCTTTCAGATATTTATAAAACATCTAAAATAACAAGATAAAACCAAGGCTAGAAAAATAGTCACAATGTAGACTCTCCAGTTGACTTATGCTGCCATATACTAATATTCTCACTTATATGAACTACAAATTATAATTAGTCAGTGGTAAGATATGGAGAAAAAAGTCATTAAAAGTTTTAAGTGTTTTTTCCCATATCAGGTCAGTACGCCAAAATGTTGTCGCTTAAAATGACACCACTGGTTATCCTGTTATCCTGGTTAATTGTCATGCTTGGGGATCCACCCAGTGCTGTATCACTTTAGTAGTGTGGCAGTACACACCATGGATTAACTCACTGATCTAATATTCAAAAGAACGATATAAACTAAATGCTTTTATTATCACCCAGAGTTGGCAGATAAGGAAGTTCAGAACCTCAGAAACAGGGTGAGTCCTTCACTTGTGGCCACACATTAGTAAGTAGCAGAAAAAGCATATGTGCCTGTGTTGTGCCACCAACACTCCCACATCTAACCTCCAGCCACTCTCCTACCCTCTCTTCACTCTTAACTTCACCCAGAACCCCTATCCTAGCCTTTCTCAAATGTCTCCCAAATATCATGCCTTCTCAGTCCTCTAGGGCTTTAACTGCTCCCTTGTCTGCCTACTTCTCAGCTTCAGTTTTCCTTCCTCAGTGTATCACTAGGTTGCTGCAGGAAAGAGAAGATACACTGAGTTAAGATTTCTAAGAGAATTTAAGGAAGAGACTGTTTTGAAAGCCATGGGTAAATTTCAGGGAGTCAGTAGGAATTGTGACTGGTGTATAACACACTGGGACACACGGCCTATTCTCAGGCATAAACACTCAAGAGAGGAAACAAAGTTACAGGACCCTAGGAGACAGGTGGAGGAACTATAGGGGCTGAAAGAGCAGAAAGCTCTGGAAGCTCAGTAGGATCTGATTAGCAGAGCCACCCCCAGGAGTGTGGCAAAAGAAAACATCCACTGTATTAGTTAGCTTTCACGTCACGGGAGCACAGCAGCTACCACCCACAGCTTAGAAAAGGAGAGGCTTAATGTGTCTCACAGTTTGGAGGAATTCAGTCCATGTTTGCTTGGCATCTGGGCATGAACATTGTGACAAAGGGCAGGGTGGAGGAGAGAGCTTCTTAGTTTATGGCGACTGGGAAGCAGAGCAAGGAAACACTGGCAGAGAGGGAAGGATGAGGGACCAGATGTACCCCACCACACCTCAGTGACTCATCACAACACATCCAAAACTATGCTTTCCTAATGCCCTCAGCGGCTCCCAAGCCAAACAAGTGGGCAGCGGACTTAACAATCACAAACCACCACTTGTCAACTTGACACCCAAGCACATCTCATTAAGCCACCTTTCATCTCCAAATGAATGCAAAAGCTAGTTAATGATTTTGCCTAATTTGTTACAACTATACTGCATACAACTAAGAGTGCAATAACCCCTTCCTTAATGTTTCTGTGGTTCTAGCATATTCCCAAAAGGCAAAGTGTCTTCTGAGATTCAAGGCAAATACTCACCTGCAGACCTCTATAAAAATCAAAAACAATGTGCATAAGCACAGGGTAAATATTTCCATTCCAAAGGTGAGAAATCGGGGGATAAAAATAATTGGAATAAAGTAACATCAAAATCTATAAGGGTGAATATTAAATCCTGTGTCTCCATATTCAGCACTGAAGCCACAAGGTGAGATGTCAGTTGCAGAGGACTTGGGCTGGCTCTGCTCATGACCTTCAACTTTCTTCAGCAGATGTTCCACATCCCTATCATCTGATTTTCTGAGGTTTCCACTGTACCTTTGGCTTCATTCCAGCAGCTTCCTGCACTACTCCTATCAAGGATTGCTTGCCAGGCCTCTAATGTCTTCATTTTTATCATTATTCTGGCCTTCTGAACTCTGACCAGAATTGCCCATCAGCCTCTGCTTGCAGCAGTCTAAGGATTTTCTACACCCTATCTTTATACCTTTCTGACTTCCTCCCCAAAAATCAGTTCCAAAAGCCTCTAAACCACGTGGTCAAACGTAGTCACAGTAACAACCTCACTTCTCTGCTACCAGCTGTCTGTATTAGTCAATACTGAGACACAGTACCCAATGCCCACATTTTAAAGGAGGAGAGGTTTAATTTTGCTCACAGTTACAGAAATTTCAGTCCATGGGCTGCTTTGTTCCAAGGCAGAAACATCATGGTGGGAGGGCATGGTGGAGCAAAGCTGCTTAGTTCACGATGGCCAGGATGCAGAGCTGGGGAACACTGTCAAAGAGGAAGGACCCGAAACCATACATAGTGCTCAAAGTCACACCTGCATGACTGATACAAATACAACCAGAAGTGGGCTTTACTTATTCGCTCGTCTGCTCCCAAGCGAATCAAGTTGGCTTGATGAAGTTTAGCCATCATATCCTCGCTCTTCTCCCAGATCTGCTCAAAATGAGTCTATTACGATTCCCCTGCACAGTTAAAAAGAGAATCAGATAGTGAAGTTAAAACTGATTTTTACTCAAAAAGCAGTATTCTTGTCTCACAATTTTTAAACATTTCAGCAATTCTGCCAGCTTTAATTATCCTTTCATTATCCAAATCCTTTGGGTTTATTCCCTGAGTCTCAGGCTTTCTGCACTGCAAGGATATTACCAACCATGTGACAATAAAACTGGCTTTGAGTCTGTGGCACTGCAAAGGACACCATGGAGGGGTCTGACAAGATGTCCCACGTTTGCATGTTAATATATTTTCCTGTTTGGATTTCTCATCTTAGAAATCAGATAAAACAAAAATCAAACTAAATACATTTCTTTCTCTGAGCATAATATAAATTCTAAAAGATAGCATATGGTGGATCTATATTTCTTATCTTCCTATGAGATCCATGCATTAGGTACAAATCATTCTTATGCATGAAGAATAATGCCTGGCTAAAAAAGGACAAGGTAATTATAGGGAAATTTTTTTTGCTAAAGCCTTGGCACGCACACACACACACACACACACACACACACACACACACATATGTCTCTCCATATATTGTCAGCATTCTAACAAGTCTTCAGTAACCACTTCTGTTGCAGTTTGTGCTGGATGATTTCTCCTTACGAGGGTGCAGCTCAGCAACCAAGGGCAGAGACACAATTTTAGTAAATATGTCTTGTATAGGATTCATCTTTCAGGCCATCTTATTAACCATCAAGGTTACCTTATCACAGAGACTGACAAAACCACTAGGATAAGCCAGAACCCCTAACTTTGTCAATGTAAAACCTCTCTCATAATAAGTAATGGACTCTGGTTAGGACAAGATATATTTTGCTTGTTCACAGGGTTTTTAGAAAATTAGTAATTCACATTTGTATGCTGAAAGTAAGAATAAAAGGAAAGGAAGGGGCCAACAGGCTTTCCATCAAAATTGTTTGGAGGGCTTTCCTGCTTTTATTTCAAAAGTTGCAGAACAAGTTTGAGATTCCTAGAAAATTTGCTAGCTCCCTGGCATCCACAATTGTTGGGAAAACATATTTGGTGAAAATACTGATCACTGAATATATTTTTAACTCACAAATGGCATAAAAGTCTTAAACCTGCTTCCCAACAGCAAGCTCAGTACCAAGGATTTGAAGTCTGCTGCTGAGATATTTTTTTAATATCTCTCTGTGCTCTTCTGAATTTGGTAGTTAATGGAGCTCTCCTCCCCTTCTTTATAGGTCATGGGTTTGGTTCGTCAAAGATGTCTCGTGCACAGACGTTTCCTAGCTACACAACGGAACAGAGTGAAGAGGCGCAGCCTCCCTTGTCACGGTCCAGCAGCTATGGCTTCAGCTACAGCTCCAGCCTCATCCAATGACACACACAGGGCACTGCTCACCAGACAGACAGCCTCTCTTGGACCTGCCTGCGGGGTCATTGAACCCTCTGCCTCCTGGAAGACCAATTGCAGTACAAATTGCTCGGTTGGGTCTAGCCCCAATCCCACTGGAAGGTTAATAACTGGAGTTCTGCTTCCTTGATTCAGTGGCTAAGTCCTTTATTTATTGAATTTCTAGGGGGGAATCTATGTTTTACAGTAATAGAATCCAAATTGTATGAACAGTCTTTAAATAAACAAAATTCTTTGGGTCTGAAAGTAACAGAAGCCTTGGCACTGGGAGAAGTGCCCCACACTGGTGGTACCTGAGTGACAGGCACTTACCCCTGTCTTCAACACCCAGTCCTGCCTCTGAGCACAGGGTCTGTCCATAGGCATCATGACCTACCACAAATTTTGTGGCTTTTTCAGTTTTGACAGGGTCAAATCCAGTAAGCTCTGCAAATGGCATCTGAACACTCCATATGAATAAATCCAGTGACAACTAAGGAAATATGAAATTAGAACACTCTGTTAATCAGGGTCTGGTAGCTCTACTGTCGTGTGTGTGTGTGTGTGTGTGTGTGTGTGTGTGTGTAGACAAATATAGATATGGATATTGCTATATCCATCTATATATAACAAGTATATATATAAATATATATGTGCTGATGGTGACAGGATATGCTCACTTAAATTGTTGAAAACTGTAATTTGTTGCATTAAAATTAAGATTGTTATGTTGAATAGCTATTTTTAAAATAGTGCTCTTTAGAAAAAAAACAGGCTTTTTATTAGCAAAAGTATTTATGTAGTCCATTCTGCTCCCATGAAAAGTCTGAGCAAAAATGTGAGAAGAGGAATCCACTGGAAGCAAGAGCCTGGTTGTCCTACCCGTCGTGCTGTCACACTGTCCGTCTGGTCAGTGTTGCTTTACTGTCGACAGTGTTTCTCTCCTCAGCCATTCTTCTGAGCTACGTGAGGAAGATCTGGTGTGATCACTAGTTAGCTTTCAATTAACCTGAGGGAAAAGACTCCAAATGAAAAACTAAGAATAAAAACACACGCATTTAAAAAGAACTCAGCTATTTTTCAGTTAAGAGAAGAAAAAACAGTTACAGAATAGTAGCTATCAACATTTAAAATTTCATAAATACCATCCCCAGGAGCCATTAGGTACTTGTAATTTAGAACTCACTGGTTTATTTTCTCTTGTACTGGACATGGTTTGTCTGAGCTTATAGGTGGAAAAGGACCAAATGTAAATACTTTTGGACCTGACACTATTGATAACCATATAAGATTAAAACGCAGTAGTGATTCCCACATGAATTGAGGAAGGCTGGCTAATCCTAATCAACATAAATAGATGTGCCCCTAATTTTAGAAGTAAAAATGAAAATTATTCTGCCTGAATGATCTGATACAGTGTGCCTCATACTGGTATTTCCCAACTAGTCCAGCATAGGTTTAAAGAACAGTGAGCCTGATTTTTTTAATAACAAATTTTTTTATACCAACAAAAGCAGTTTATTGAATGGGTACCTATTTTGCAGATCTCTGTTAAGATTTTTTTCATCCATATTCATAGCCTGAGAGTAGACTGACAATTCATTTCAGTGAATGACTACTGAATAAAAATGGCTCCACATCCATTTTTGATAAATGTGCACTTATAACCACCTAGACTCTCTGAATCACTCAGATAGATATGAAAACCCCATCAAGATGCTAATCATAAGAGTTAATGTGGCTGCAAAAAATAATTACCCTAAGCCTTCAGGGATAAAAAGGAAATTACCCAAACTCTCTGTGCTGTGAATTTTGCTGACACAGCAGAGGAGCAAATGACTGGTTCCTTCGGAGGATACAGCCTTCCCTGGGATCCCTGTGTTCAGGGTTGACAGCTCTGAATTTCTTTACTACGTGGCATTTGCTTTGGAAATGCCACTACTCAAATATACCAGAGCAACTCCCAGCTGAGACCTTTTGAGCACAGTTCCTAGTGCAGCCAATTCAGAGCGAGCCTCTCGCTGCCTCACTCAGTCGAGCTGTTGCTTAGACACCAGAAGTTTCTATAAGGGACTTATGGGGAAAGGCCCTCAGGGGTCCTGGTTCATGTCTCAGCTTTATTAATGTGCCAGAAGCACAGACAGCAGGTCCAGGGGGATTCTGCTAATTACACGAGTCTGCTCTTGTGTCTCTTTGGTGGGAGACAAGCATCTGCATGAATCGCTTCCAGAACACCGTTGAGTTCTGATCTTCCCTGGTGAGCTGACTGTGAAGACATAACTTTGGGCCAGTTTACTCTGAAAATAATGTCACAGGAAAAGGGTGTGAGAAATTTGCTTCCCAAGGCTTTAACCCAATCTCAGCGTAGTGAGAGTGATGCTATAAAATATCTCATCATATAGTTTTAGAGCTTTATTCTAGTATCCTTCTAGTATCCTATCTTCCAATTTCCAATTGAGTCAAAACTGCAAAGTGAATAGATAGAATTTATAGAACTTCACACACTTGACAAAAAACAGTGTTTGTTGTAATAAAAATGACAAGCAGATAGAGCTACAAAGACCAAAGATGGAAAGTTACAGTCCCTGGGAGCTTCATAAAAATCAGTTCCATTGGAGTGACTAGAACAGCTGTGGGAATGTGTTCAACTCATCTGAGCTCGTAGGTTTTTGATTGAAGATGCCTCCATACTTTGCAAGTCCTTTCTCCCTCCAGAAATATACTACATCTTTAAAAATTCAAACAACTTTTTCATTGTGAGGGAGCGATTGCTGTGAACCAAAGACATCTAGGCTCCTGAAAGTGACTCAACTGGGGTTTCACCCAGATTGGTCCATGTAAATAGTCACCACTTATACATCAGTTTCATAGACACCAATGATCAAGGAATCCCACATATATAATGAAGTCTCTTCTGACAGCAGAGACAGCCTGACAGCATACATATTTCATAGAAAGATTTATGGGGGGATTTATTTTTCATGTCCTCAATTGTTCCTTCAGATAATCTTGATTAATGTGCACATAACCAACATATGACATTATATTTAAAGTGAGGAAAAGTACACAATGAATTTGACCTAGTAGTTCACTATTCTTGGGGGGTGGACAAAATACATCTTTCACTTACTTATTGGACAAACAGTAGGCATTCAGAGATAATTTATTTAGGCAGGTTACAAATATCTGTGAATCTATAGGTTCTAGCCACTGCCAAAATTTGAATTTTATACAAAAATATATATTTAGTTACTTATTAGGGAGGATGCTGATTGATAGAGCATGTGAACTAAACACCTCTTTCACCAACTAGTAATCACAGCACTACCCTAGTATATTGTACAATTCTGTCTTCTTTGGACAATTACGTTTGAAAAACATTCATCACCTATAAAACAATCGGCCATTAGTACATTCTATCTAACAGAAACAGTGGCCTGACCAATATCTTTACACTGTTAGTAGTAGTTTCTACAGATCCAATTTACTGCATGTGATATCTTTATGGTAGATACTAAAAATGTATCATACAGATTGATGTCTCCTCATTATTTGGCTAATATCTCAAAGAAATTTGCAAAAAAGCATGAGTACATTACTCCCTTGATTATTTGAACGATTTGCTGTACTAAAGTCAACCATTAGTGCTAGATGAAAAGAAGCCAAGGAAGTTATATTCTAATAAATATCTTAGTCCAGTTCTATTATAACACAGCACAATAAATGGACAATATCCATCCAGTAGGGAAGAGCTTTTCACTTGTAACATTTTAAGTTTTACAAGAAAAGTCACGTTAATAGCTGATTGAAGTGAAAAATACATATTCTCCAATTCTATTAACATGCCTATCAGTGTCTTACAAATCACATTATCAATAACTAATTATATATTCCCGGACCACTTCCTTGTCAAAACAGATAAAGATTTACCCCAGGCATGTAGTAATAATTATAACAAGTGGTATGTTACACATATTAATATCTAGCCTATGAAGTTTTTGGGGTGTATGTATGTAGGCTATGAAATTCATAGGGTGCAAATCCCCATGGGGGGGATAGAGAAGGATGGTGGTTAGTCAAGAGGATAATTTAAGTAAAATGATAAGGAATCCACCGAAATGTCAAGTGCACACTTGGACTGCTAAGTGCACACTTAGACACGCTAACCCAGTTCAGTGTCACACACTTGGCCTTCTTTACCGATTATCTCAGTTCTTAACATGCCCACAGGAACACACATTACCAGCACATGTGCTTTTTTCCATTTCCTGAAAATATTTTAACACAGAAGAATGTGCAACAAAGTCCCCTAATAAAATGTATCTTCAATAACATGAGAATCATTTTTCTATGGCCAATTTCATTTTATTGTTATTACGCATATATATTATCATGACACATATGGTTAGGGGCTAAATTTGTGAGAAAAGATCAACAATCTCATGTGTGTATTCCCTGTAAACTTATTAGAAAGACTACCCTTTTCTCTGTGGAACTATTACAAATCGAGACTTTCTTTCTCAAGAATGTGAACTTTGTTTTATTTCCACAATTGTTTCAACAGAGAAGACATTAGATAGTTTATAGTCTCATAGAAGTATGAAATGCTAGGCATATTTTCTACACAGGCAGAATGCTAGCCAGCTCTAGAAGCAATCTTAAAGGTCGTATAGAATAAAGGTTTCACTTTGATTTCCTCAGGAGAAAATTGAAATCCATGGACACTGCATTTTGCTAAAGGCAAAAAAAATGGCCAGGAATGGTTCCTCCTAGTTACGGGGTTTATGTCTAGGATGTTTCTGTGGTTCTACCTTGTCTTCCAGGCAAACCTAGCACAAGTTGAGAAATACCACATGGCCACATGATAAAAATGCCTTTGTATGTTTAAGGGTTTCCTCATATTTTTGAGATGCTGCTATTCTTCTTGGATTTATCACCAACCACATCCTTCAAAAGGCTTTCTGAGACACTTCACTAGATTTGTTGTAGGTCATGATTGACTAGCATAAGCTTTATTACTCTTAAATTGCCCTCCAATTATTTGTATAAAACTCAGACTTATTTATCATAAAATAATAGAAAAAATTAGTAATTGTGTGTGTTTTGCTGTCCTGCTAATCCCTCATATTGTAATTATGATCATTATTTTGGAATCTTTACCCCTCCATATCACTTTATGGTGTCATTATTTATGTTATTTGTGTAAAACTTTGTTAGGTAATTGATACTATTACAGCTACATTTTTTCATGTGATCTTCAAATAGTTTCCAACTTCACCAGAAATTTCAAAACTTATTTGTTTTACATTAAAATACTTTATGGCTCAAGCTTTTCCTTCCAGGCAATTATGTACATTTACTGAAGTTAAAATGAATAAGAAATAATCTGAAAGTATTAAACAACATAAAGGCTACAATTTGTTTATAATCTTCAGACATGTTTCCCTGTATTTAACATCTTGTAAACGTGTGGAGAGGAAAAATGAATTTGTTATAGAAATGTTCCTTCTAATAATTCCATTAAATGAATATGCTTTTATTTTAACATATCTCCCACACCTATGATGCCAGCCCATATTCCACATAACAGCTGTAAAAGAATAAATGTGTTTAAAGATTCTAATCATTATTTTGGGCCATTTCTACCCATTAATACAATTAACTTCTTCAATCTGTTAGCTGTGTATTGGATGCTTTTAGATGGACAGCATGAAATCAATCCCTTCTCTGGACACAGAATTGCACACTGAGATGAGCCCGCTATATGCCCTAACTGATAATTCTGAGACCCACAGTCTCTTAAAAGAGTTGCTTATTATCAGGTCTACAAAATGTAAAACTCCAAATTCAGGCAAAAAATAATATGAGATATCATTTAGTGTTTTAAAAACTCATTGTAAGATTTCTCTTGAAGAAAACATCTTGCCCTGGGTTTTATGATGATTTCATATTTTTTTTTTTTTCATAACCAGAATCGAACTTGAGCTTGCCAGGCAGGCACTGGGCCCCTAAGCTATACCTCCAACCCTCAGATCATTGACTATTTGTACTTCCTTTTTTTTTTTTTTTTTTTTTTTTT